AATGAATTTAAAAAAACAATCAATAATATTCGCATTTATTTAATTTTCATATTTTCTAAACAAAAAAAAACTAAAAAAACGAAAAAAAAAAAAAAATAAAAAAAAAACAAAAAAAATTCTGCCCCCGCAAGGATTTGAACGCGGTCGCTCGCCAGGTCTCAAATGGCAAAGTTGATAAAATTTGTGTCAATTAAATGATCTAATCGGTTATGTGTTTAACCAGAATAAAAAGCAAACATAACTTAGTTATTTTTAAATTATTTAAATAATAATTTTAAAAGATAAATATCCAGGATCTAATTTACAACAACTTCAATATTTTAATAATCATATTGTTTTTAGTATTAAACTTTCAGAAATAAAACAAATAATCTAATCAAAAAAACAAAAAATGATTATTACAGAAATAAAATATATGAAGCTGGAAAAAACAGCAGGAAAGTCTGGGAGATTATAAATAATATAACAGGTAAGGAATATAGCAAAACCATTGAATATTGTAATATAACTAATAACGAAGGACAAATAATTACAAACAATAAAGAAAAAGCAGATGAATTCAATAATTTCTTTGCAACCTTGGGTAGAAAAATGGCAAATAAAATACAAAAAAAAAATCTACCACAGATTTTTTTAAATAATACTCACCTAATCCATTCGATATATCTTAAACCCGTAACTAATAGCGAATTAATTACATACATTTCAAATCTAAAGAACAATTGTTCACCAGGTCCGGATAATCTATCTACAAAAATAATAAAAACTATTCATGTATTTATTTGTCAGCCTCTATCTCACATAATAAATCAATGTTTGGCTATTGGAAAAATACCAAAACAATGAAAAGAATCAAATATAACTCCAATCTTTAAAGCGGGGAACCCTACGAATTTAAATAACTATAGACCGATATCTATTATTAATAATTTTGCGAAGAGTTTTGAGCAATCGCTAAAAACTAGACTTCTTTCATTTTTTAATAAACACAATATTATAACAAATAGGCAATTTGGCTTTATCAAAAATTCAAATACGGAAAATGCTATAATTGATCTCCTAAAAACAACAATGAAGACCTGGTATGATTCATCAAAATGCTTAGCAGTTTTTTTGGATCTTGCTAAGGCTTTTGATACCGTGGAACACTCAAAATTAATTAATAAATTAAGGGAATATGGCATTAGAGGAATAGCTCTTCAATTATTAGAAAACTACTTGTCAGATAGAACCCAAAGAGTAAAAATTGGAAACTCATTTAGTGCTGACAATAAAGTAGAAACAGGTGTTCCACAAGGAACAGTTTTAGGGCCGATTTTATTCGTCATATATGAATAGTATCACGCAAATTTCAAATTTCAAAGGACAAATAGTGTGCTATGCCGATGATACAGCTATAATATTTTCTGGGGAAAATTGGGAAAATGTAACACAAACTGCAGAAACAGAAATAAATAGGTTACATATATGGCTCAACCATATTTTAATAACTCTAAATATTAAAAAAACTAAATATATTACTTTTTCACCAACAATAGTAGATCAGCTAAATAATATAAACATAAAATTACACTGCGCAACATGTCCTCAACATAATAACATATGCGATTGTGAAAATTTGGAGAAAACTACATCAATTAAATATCTTGGAGTGATCGTAGATCAGCACCTAAAATAGACGGAACATATTACATATGTAGCAAAAAGAATAAGAGTATTAATGCATAAATTTTATCAACTTAGAGAAATTCTTTCAAAAAAAAATCTAGTTATATTATATACATCATTAGCAGAGTCTATAATAAAATACTGCATAACTATTTGGGGTGGAGCATATAAAACAACACTAAACACATTAGAAGTAGCACAAAACCTCCTAATAAAGATAATTTTTCAAAAAAACAAAATGTTCTCAACTGCACTACTATATAAAGAAACAGAACTTTTTAATATACAAAATCACTACATCTACCAATGCTTACTACGAATATTTAATGAACAAGATAAAACACCTCAATATTATACAAAAACTAGATCCGCAATAAACTTAAATATAAGAACTGAAGCCATTAAAAAATCAATTACCCAAAATTCATACTTTTACTATGGTCCAAAATTATATAATCTCTTACCTGCTAATCTAAAACAAATAAAAAAAATTAAAATCTATAAAATAGACGTTAAAAATGTCTTAATAAATCACCCTGAAACTAAATATAATATATATAAAAAAAAAAAAAATACTTCAGTAAATTAACAATTAAACAATATATAAACCGTTCTTGATTTAATTTTCCATCTCCTACATTACATTCTACATTACTTTCTTTCTTCATATTTAATTATTTTTCATATTTAATTATTTTTCTTTAGTATTAATTAGAACTGTTTCAGCTATCTCTGTTATTATTTTAATATTTAAATCTAGTTTATGATATTAAAACAAGTATAATATTTTGTAAAGCACTAAACATGACTGGCATCGCAAAACAAGCATTAAGTTGCATAGGCTGGTGTCCGCCCTTGTTTGGTGTTAAACTAATACAATTGTTATTATTTTATTTGTATACCTATATCAATAAAATTTATTTATTATTATTTATTATTAATATGGGCATTACATAGATCAAAATATAAATGATGCGTTTGATATTTTGTGACAGCTGATGCGGAAAGTAGCATATTCGCACGCGGGTGGCAAGTAAATTCTTATTCATACGCGTGTGATATAGGGCATTTTCCATAGGACTATATAGTGTGATATGTGTCACTTTCCGAAGTGGTCGTAGGAAAATTTTATTTTGAGAATTACCATATTTAAGACAAAAAATACAAAACTCATATTTATTATCAGTATGTAATTATATCAGGAAAATGGTTTGGACAAACACAAAAAACAAATATGATTCCATGATTAAATTCGTCTAATTCAAGTAAACATACTATAAAAAATTCATAGAACGGATAGGAACGAAACTAAATAAGAAAATAATAGCTATATATAAAAATATAAAAGGAAATGACTGATAGTATGGTGTATTATTTATTAGCGCAAGATGTGTTTTATGTCACCCTGAATAACAAAGAACTTTTTTTTACACAAACTCATCTGTTTGACAAACATTGCTTTTTCGCTGGTTTACATGAACACTTAAAATATCCTCGACTTCCGGAAAGTGAGAGCACCTGCACAGCTTTTCGTACTGATAAAAACTTTTCAGGGACGTCATCAACTTGAAAAAATACCCCATTAGATCAGGCCGATTGAACCATTATTTGATTCGACCAGAAAGACCTTCATCAATTTTATCAATAGGTAAAAGAACGCACGAACCTATTTTTGTTGGTGGAAGTTTTTTCACGGTATTTGTAAGCATTCGCAGTTTTTTTTTTAAAGACTTAAAAATAGTAATTGGTGATCTTGATAATCAAGCAACCAACGGTACTGATTGTCTGCTCAGGATTGAAAATTCATAAGGTCCACTTGTCCTCTAGAGGTAAAGTTTGTTTAAATAATAGGTTTTATGGTTACATTTGCATGGGACTTGTTCTTTCTCTTTTGGCAAACTTCACAAGTTTTTTATTATATTTCTTCCAACTTCATATTTTGTTTTTAATTTGTGCATTACTTTATGCCGATCGCCATGATCAACATCAATGTGTACTTCAAGAGCAACATTAAATATTTTTTCATAAGGAATCACGCAAAAATACTTTCCTTTTTTAAAAACATTTTTTTCTTCTGTCACAAGATAAAAGGTGATGGATTCTAGTTTTTTTTTTCGGCAATTCCGCAATATTCCATGGTTTCTTCTTACTTTGATTGGAGTAATAATCATCTAACTTCTTATAAAACAATTCTGAATGTTTCGACATTTTAGTTTTCACAGAAAAATCACTACACAGATATTAATAACAATTACAGCGTTTGACTAACCTAAATCCGTCATTACAGGGAATGCCTAAAACTCTTAGGCAAACAGTGTACCAAATGTAGAGTTACGCAGTTTGCCGGAAATGACGTGAAATGACTAGGCATTTTAGAGAATGACGGATTTCACTAATTGACGCCGACATTTGGACAATACACTCACATCTAAATGGTTATGAAGTAGACATGAAATACAATAATCTGGTGGAACTCCCACTTAAAAAATAGAGTCAAAAGAGCATACATTGTTTATGAACAATGCCGCCAAACCGTGTGGCTCACCTGTGATTTCTCCCTCAAGGCATTAACTTACACGGCCTTCAAAAGACCTATGATAACATATTCTGCAGTTATCTGGGCATCGAAAACCGAAATTGACAGCTAACCACAAATTAGAAAAAACTCAAACAACAGCATGTCCCAACATAACAAGAGCCATGAAAACCACATTGACCAAAGCCGTAAAGAGATAAACAAAAGGATTTCCAAAATATTAGTCATTAATTTGGACACATTTGTTTATAAAATATTCAAATATAAAAAGAAAACAAAAGGATTTAAATACAAAAATATTAATTAAATTGCACAATTTTATTAAAAAGGGGACACAGATATTTATCATTTAAAAGCATAGGGTAGAAGCACCAGTAAATGAACGGTTAAGGCCTTCTTTATTTTTGAATTGTCCCTATAATTTTGTCACAACTTAATTTCTATATGAATCTGAAATAACTCATATTCCAATGTTATTATTGAACCAAAGTAAATTTAGTGGTTTGCAACAAGATAAATTTATTCAGAAACTACCAGTGAATGAACGCTCAATACCAGTAAATAAACCCTCCTGGTCTAGTGAATGTACGCTCAATACGACTAAATAAACGTCCCTAGTCTAGTGAATGAACTCAGAAAGCAACTATCTAAAAAATTAGGAAAATTATTATAGAAATCAATAAATAATTGTAAAAAATTTATTGTAAAAAACAAACGAAATACAGGTATATAGGTATTATGAGTATAGTAGGTACTAATATTATCTGATTTTTTTGGTACTAGATTTGTAATTCGGCTATTTAAATAAATTGGAGCCAACTGGAGTCATACATTTAACCTCGTATTCATCCTTCACTCTATTAACGACTATTTCGGGAAAATACTTCTTTTGGTATCTGACTATTACGTAAGAACCTGTGATAATTTGTCCGTTTTCATTTTCAGGTGATGTAGATACACCAGATGTTATGTAGGCAGTTAACTTATTCTTTCTTGAAGTTGGTTTTACTCCTAGAATAATAATGGTAAGTCCCTATAGATATGATTAAATCACCTATTTACCTATCGCTTGTGATACCGTTTACTTACTTTTTGTAACACTTACATATTACTTATTTCTTTCAATGTCTCAGTCTCGATTGAGTCAGTTTTCTGTTTTTTGAGAACCGTCGGTGTTTTATGAGTACCTGCAACAATAAATAAAGTTCCAAATTTCCCATTATTATGAACAAATTAACTGTTTACCATTTTGCTCGGATAGATCAGTCTTGACTGTTTTCCTCTTTTATACAGACTGCGATTTGGATTGGTCCTTTTCGCATTTTACTTTTTTTTATTTTCCCTCATGGCATTTATTTTTAATATTGCGTCTTCCTTCTCCATTTTCTCAAATTATTTTGTCTCTTCATATTCCTTCCATTTCTTTGACGTAATTGCAAAAGGCATAGGTGCCGTTGCTATTTTTCTGGTACGTGTTTTTTTAACTTTAGGCCTGTGCAAATGTTGCGACCATACACTTTCTTCTATTTTTATATTACTATGCAGTATTATTTTCTGTTGCTTGGAAACACGCGTTTCAGTGGTTTTGTCTTCAGTTGTATTGTTCTGATCGTGCATACTTTCGAATACGTTGTCAATATTATTATTCATTATACGGTTAACTAAATCGATGCTGCTATTTAGTGGCTCTTCATTAATGCATTTTTGACTTTTTCTGAAATGAATACATTGCTTTCTCTTCGTAAATCAGCAGACATTATAGATTCCACATTGTTGCTGACAATACTCGTTTCCTTATTTTCCAATTCATTTATGTCATAAAGAACACCATCGATCTCCAGTGGAAATTTCATCAAATCTTCAGGCGTATAAATATTGTAAATATCGTTATTGGGCAGCAAAACTTTTGTTTCTGTAGCCTCGTAAATATTGTCGGAAATCTCAAGCACGTCATTTTGTACTGTGACGATAGTCTAATTTATTTATAGTTTATTTATTTAAAACACACTCTTTACAATTTATTTATGACGTACTATTTAATTCATATAATACTTAGACACTAACTAACAATTCTAGTTTATTTATTACACTTTAACTTTTCATTACAATGCTACAAACTAAACTAAACTGTGCGTCGATGAGTCGGCTATTTATACCAAGCTAATTCCGTGCTCGTCGTTACTGGGTGCTCCAGAAAATCTCTATGACTCAACGGCAGTTTCTCGAAGCGTCAACGGCATTCTGTCGTTTCTTGTATATTTGAGACGCGATCCGACTGTCCTCACACGTCAGCGTTGCTTCGATCATGAATCGAGTGGCAGACTTCCAAGGTCGCGTTTACAAAGGGTAGGCTTTAGGAATTTCATGAGATTTCCCACTCCTTAAGAAATAGTTCCTCCTGGAATTAAAACTGAGTGGTTGTATTTGTAACTGGATTCTTTTTTACAAATTCCAGTTGCATGGAAGTAACAAGGGACAGTGTACGCAATAATCTGAACGCTGGGAGAATGGCTGCAGACTAGTATTTCAACCTGGTTATGTTGGAAGATTCCTTCCACCATGTTTCTAATGATCCTCCAATTCAGCTGGTTGCTCTCTATCTTTGGCATAGCTAGTTTTTTTACATTGGACTCCAGGACATGCTCCCTCAGACTGAGTACTGCTACCCATACATCCTAATAAGTGGATCGATCTCGGAAGGTGTTCCTTTTTTACCAAATAGAAAAGATAACGCGTGTGACAAGTCTTCTGATTCACCTACAGTGCTTCAGCGAGTCTGTGGCGCTATGAATGTAATTCCCGAATAGGGGTTGCTCAGGCGCCAGTTTTGATATCGCAGTTTGCTCTGCGGCCCTGGGGTACACGTAGAGTACACCCTCAGTAGACTCAGTGGAGTCCAGGTACAAACAAAAAAAAAATAAAACGGATAGACCTTCGCTGTTAAGTTGACCTACACTGGGGTAGTAAAGTAAATAAAGTTTTTCACTGCACTTTTACCTATTAATCACTACGCCCTGAAAACGGAAAAAGCAAAGGCGTAATTCAAAATTAAACTCAGGAATTTCAATCAAAAATATATTTACAAAATAAATAATAATTAAAAATAAAATAAATGGGGTGAAATCGGTATATCTATATATCTGTTTAATAACGGTAATAAAATAAATGCAGAATCATGTATGTTGATAAAATAAAAGGTCTTGGTATTTACAATGATAAAACGGTAAAATTAACTATGACCTATACTATTCCCATAAGAAAATAAAAATAACAATTTTCCCTTTAAAAAAAATTAAAACGGTGGGCACTAACACCCTTAGCACAAATTCCTTGCTATTAATGAAAACGGCCGATTTTAGCCATAAGAAAAAAATCTACAATAGTAAAACTAAATATGATTCAAACTATACGTTTTAAAAATAAAAAAAAATTAATAAGCTACTCTCAGTAATAAAAAATATCGGAAATCGGCCAACAGTGGTGAACAGTATCACCCTCCACTCATGAGAAAAAAAATGACGGATGCCTTTGTAAGAACGACACCTAATATCCTCCCCGCAATATTATTTTTACTAGGCACAATAGACCAAATAACGGGTGTCTTAAAGCGGTATTATTCGACCAATACTTTGAGAATTTTTATTTTATTTATTCGGTTTCAAATTTCTCTTATGTAGACATCTGGGAATCCATAGCTTCTACAACACAGAAACAACTGCGACTCTCGACAGGGATAGCAAGCGAATACCACTATCATCCCTTGGTTAACACGAAAATGGTTGAAGGGCACTAACGCCCCGGATTTAAATACAATTCGTTACCCTAACAGGTACTAAGAAATCAAAAGTATCGGTCGAATAGCTCATGTAATTAATAGTACGGAAGTGAATGTTACAGGGAGAATTATTAGACGGAATTTTAAATAAAAAGGCCTACCTTAATTAACTTTTCCCAAAAATCGCTTTCGGTAAAACGGCACTTCAGTAAGACAACTTTTACTAGCGAACTGACGGTAGCAGCAGGAAAAGAGGCCTCCTTCATCGCAAACATTTAGTTTTATCAGAATTCGTACTTTTGCCGGAGTGGGACGGTAGCCCCACCTAGAGGAAATAAATTGTTATTGCAAAAAAAACGTTAATTGATCAGCTTACTGATAAAATCTACTACTATTGCAATTTTACGAGACGATTTACATTATTGTGATATTGAAAAGTTTTAAACTACGAGGGCTCTTGTAAAGATTTAAAAACGGTAATTCTATGGAAACATTAGTTACAGGGGGTCTTGAAAATGTTCATAGACGGAAATTAATTTTAGAAATTAATTTATGGAATAAATTAATGGGAATTTTAGTGACTTCGTCACACGCGATCCATCTAGAAGTTTTAATGCTTTTCCAGGGGCTGGTAACTGATCTTAAAGTTCTGGCGTGTAACGTGATCTTGTTATTTTATCTATTTTTATAGTGTTTTAAGCTCTAATGATTTTGGGGAGTGGGTCAAGTTTATTAGATAACTCGTATTACTTTAAAAAAGAATGTTGAGCCCCACTATATTTAAAACTTACTAAACTTGACTATGGATTAGTGATAAAAATATAAAAAATTACTAACCATTAAGATATGATAATTAATAAAGTCTTAGATAAGGTAGCAACAAATTCTAATTCACAGAGATTTACTTATTTAAATTTATATAATTTATTCAAGACTTATCTGAATGACAGGAGATAATAAATAAGGAGTGACTTGTAGAGGCCTTCTTCGAAGGGACTCAAAACTATATTCTTCGGATAGTACAAATCTTCACAAACTTCTTTAGATGGAACTCGAACAAAACCTCTTGACAAAACCTAAAATAAACCTCCTTATATGCAGCTTGAACTTAACTTCTTTATAGAAATCATCATAAACAGTATAGATATATCCTGAATTAATTTTCTGAACTATGACTCAAAATGAACTTTTCGATACAGCTTAAACTGAACTTCTAAAACTTCTATACTTGTATACTTCTATAAACTTCTATACTTCGATAACTTATATATCTTCTAAAAATTCTATAAACCATCTTAATATAGCCAGGCTACTTAGGAAAAGGTAAAAATATCAAGAAAGGTACTAGGAAATTTAAAGTAACCAGATAAAATGCCTTTTACTATTAATTAAACAATTAAAACTATTAAGTGAATAGTTTCACAGAGACTTTAATTATTATGAAAAGGAAAAATCTTATTTAACATAATTAAAAATAGTAAAGCATATTATCTCTTCCAAACAAAATAATATTAAAACCATACAAAACGTTTTTCATGTGTTACTCAAGTATTTGAGGTTATGTTTAAAATTTTACATTTCATTCAAGAAATTCTTGTACTAAATATATATTTTCAACAATATATCGGTATAATAGCTTACCTTATAAAATCAGACGGCCTATGCGATAGACAAACTTTATTTAGTACATAGGATGACCCAGATAATTTAAAATTTTCAAGTCAACCTATTCGGTGACAGATACAAAATAGAAATGAATTACCAACTGTAGACATAAGGCATAAACGACAAATGACTTTGTGTAGAGATGTTGGTGTCAAAATAACGAAAACGGTTCCGACCGTTACAATGTTTGGGTCTAAATAACGATTTCAACCGCAACAACTTCTTCCGGAATACAGAAGCCAGACCTCGAGCGTCGTAGATGTTGGTGAAAGTGCTATAAACCAGTAAGTAATCTTTAGGAACCGTGAGCAATTCTTTCTTGGAGCTGGTTTACTTCTTCTTCATCTCCATGGTCACCCTCAAATGGCGCCAGCCGGTTGTAGTGCACTACCCTTGGTTTACCGTTCGGGATCTTACTTATACGGTAAATGATATCATTAATTCTTTTCTTGATGAGGTACAGGCCTCCCCAAGACCTTTAAAGCTTTGGAAAATAATCCTTTTGTGTTTATGGGTTATGGAGCTAGAGTTTGTCGTCTTCCTTGAAACATCCTTCTGTGGCTTCGCTTCTTCATTCTGTCATTGGCGATTTGAAGATGCGAGCGGACCAATTTATATATATCGTCCATTTTTCTTTGTAACTGGATCACATATTCTTCACCAGCTACATCTACTCCAGGTCGGCATCCAAACTCGAGGTCGCACGGTAGTCTCATCTCACGCCCAAACAGGACCTTTGCTGGTGTG